CTGTAAAAATAATATTTTTACTGACCTGTTACATTATAATATTAGTAATAGCTAAGAACAAAAGTGCACTTTTTTGAGTTGTGTCAAAAAATGTTGTTCACTTACAGTATATAACAGACCTATATCAAAAAAAGTACCTATTGTCTTAAACTTTTTAGTACTGAAGTGACACATTTTTGGAATTGTTTTTTAGATAAATATTTATTATAATAAATATTGTTTTAAAAAAATATTATAATAAGGCTATCAAAAGTAGAGAGTATAGAATAACTTATTACTTAAATTTGGAAAGTAATATTTAATTTAAAAAAGTTATAGGAGAAACAACATAACAGTACCTGAAAAGCAAATACATTTCTTTAATTTCCCAAAAATCGTGAAATTCGAGTTAGGTCACTTTCGTTCTCAGCATGCGATATGTCACGTAACAAATAAAAATAAATAATATTACACAGACCGAGTGGAGCCATACTTATTTAGTTAAAATTGTAGTACTCATCTACATTATAAAAACAATTCACTAACAAGAATTCCTTAAGTTTTTTCTTAAAAGAATTAAAAATTTGTTCATCTTTTATTGACTGGGGCAATTTATTATATAATTGTATGCCAGCATATGACGGACATTTTTTGATAGAACGCTGTTCTATGATTCGGAATTCGTAACAAATTACCATGCCTGGTTTGGTAGTTATGATTATCTAAATTTTTACTAAATTCATTAATTTTTTTCCTAATATATATTATGCATTTATAAATGTAAATAGAAGGCAGTGTTAAAATATTAAGTTGTTGGAAATATGATTTGCATGATATTCTTCTATTAAGACCAAGAATTAATCTCAAAACTCTTTTTTGTAAAATGAAAAGCCTATTAGAGGATGATAAATTTCCGCACACAATTATATTATATCATTGCGTAATATATATTTATAAGTTGTTGTTTGCCTAAAATATTTATTAGTTGAAATAAAACATAATACCCACTATTAACCTTTTTACTAATATAATCAATGCACGATTGAAATGATAAGGTGCTGTCAAGAAAAGTTCCCAGAAATTTTGTAGACTCGGACATTGTTATATTTAGATTATCTGTTGTCACTGTTATTACATTCTCAATGTTATTAGTAATGTTAAATTTCATCAGTACCGTTTTCTTAGAATTTAATATTAGATGATTTTGTAGACACCACTCATTGAATTTGTTATAGAGCAAATTCAATTTGTTTGAAAGTTCCTCTAGAGAATTCGCACAAGAAGCCACTGACACATCATCTGCATATAGAACAATGCAATCTGCGTTTAAGTATGTTGGTAAATCATTTATAAATATAAGAAATATCAATGGTCCCAATACGGATCCCTGAGGAACCCCCATATCTACATTACCTTCATTTGAACAAGTTTCATTCACTTTGACAATAATTTTTCTATGTCTTAAATATGACATTAGCCAACTTAACACATTTCCTCGAAAACCTAAAGATTGAAGTTTAGTTTCCACAAAATCCAAATTTAAGCATTCAAAAGCTTGTGTAAGATCAAAGAAAAGTGCTCCAATAACTTTTTTGCTATCAAGGCGTTTGTATAAAAATTCAACAAAATCATATATAGCGCTCTCCGTTGATCTACCAGGGTAAAAACCATTTTGGCATTTAGTTATGATCTTATACTTTTCTAAGTAAGAAATCATCCTATTATACATAGCCTTTTCGACTATTTTACTTATGACATTTGATACTGTTATTTGTCTATAATTGTTTAAACTTAGCGGATCATCTTTTTTGTATAAAGGAGTTATTAATCCTACTTTCAAATCTTCAGGGTATTCACCATCCTAAACGGAAACATTTATTATATTAGCTAAAGGTTCAGCTACATAATAAGCAATATTTTTAATAATTTTACTGGGTATGCAATCTACTCCAACAGAATTAGTATTTTTTAAATTTCCAATTATCTCTAAAACGTCTTGTTTATTTACTGGGTCAAAGAAAAACGAATTACTGTTACTCAGAACACATTTTGTACAATCTGTACTAGCGCTTCCAAAATACTTTTCATTCAATAATTTTACTGCATTACTATAGTGTTTAACAAAACTATTTGTTACCTCAAAATTATTTTCAATTATCTGTTCATTGATTTTTAATTTAATTTGTTGATTTGTCTTTATTCTGCCGCTTTTTTCTTTAACTATACTCAAACAAATAATGATTGAGAGTGAACCGTGTTGTCATATCTCAATTTTACCTTACTAGTTTTTAGCAGAATCAAAATAGAGTAAGTAGTAGAGTTGTAAGTTGTGGCAAATTATAGATAATATACAATCATAGTACTAATAAAAGATATTAATTATAACAAAAATCAGTAATGAGTAATACTTATACATTTCTTGATCATTTAAAATTAATTATTTTATGGATTGTTCAATATTTGTTACAACTAATGGCATCGGTGTACGGAGCGATATTTGTGTCTTTGTCTGTTACGCGTAAAATCCATCTCGTCGATGACGTTCTCAGTAGTGTATTTCTAACCACGGGCGTAACATCGGGTTTTGAATTATACGGTGTGAATTGTAAGCTTTACAGATAAGTTAGTAAGTAATCGACGTGTTGTAAGAACAATTGGTGAAAATATTAGTGCTAATAAGTGTTTAAACATTAAATAATAATATTTCTACACCGTTCTAAAACTATGCAAAAAATGGAAGACATTGAAGGGACTTCAACGTCGAAAAAGGTAAAACGGTCGAAGTCTCGGTCGCTAAGTGAAAAACAAATTGTACTTCGAGTATTTCACTGTCTTGAAAGAGATCATCAGCGACCAAAAGATAACTTAGTGCATATGTGCTGTGCATATGGCAGAACTACTTCAGTTAACAAAATTACACAGAGACAAATATAAAAAATTCGCAGTGGATGAAATGGTGTTAAGTCGTGGAATTACAGTATTAAGGTTACCACCGTACCACTGCGAATTAAACCCAATATAATTAATCTGGGCGCAAGTAAAAGGATATGTGGCACGAGAAAACAGAACATTTAAATTAGTGGACGTGCAACGTTACCTACAAGAAGCCATTCAAAATGTTTTTGCAGAAGTCCAGAAGTCTGGAAGAAATACATTCAGCATGTTTTAAAAGAAGAGCAAAAAATGTGGGACGTAGACAACCGTATTAAACACAATATTGAACCAATCATAATTAACTTTGATGATAGCGGTAGCAGCAGTGACGAATCTGAGGTTGAAGATTAGAAGAAAATTTGTACACAAAAAGAAGTCTATATATTTAGGTATAATTTTTATTTTTACCATTCACTATTACCATTTAGAAATTATTATATAAATTTGTATTTTTAATTTCTGTACACAGACATGAAGAATGTCTCAGCAGGATACAAATGTTTATTTATTTAATTATTATTATTGTATCAATTTGTACATTGTTTGTTTGTATGGGAGTATAACTTTTTTTGTTCTCTTTGAAGTTAGAAACATGAATATTGGAATTGCAGCTAATGAGTACAAATTAATAATGACGTGTTTTAAGGTTTTCGGATTCTCACATTTTAAGGGGGAGAAACGGGGGGGGTGAAAGTTTATTTGGAAATATCGATTTTTTAAAGGTAGGAACTTGAAAATTGGAATTGTAGGTTCTTATCATAAATAAATAATGAAGTGTTTAATGGTTTTTCGATTTTGGATTTTCACATTTTAAGGGGGGAAAACAGGGGTAAAAATTATTAAAAATTAGTAAAAAATAATAAAAATTAATAAAAATTAATAAAAATTAATACAAATGAATAAAACTAATAAAAATTAATGAAAAAAGAAGTAATGTATTTTTTATATTAATAACACGACTATATGATAGCAAAGTTGCGAGCAAAGCCGCGGGCAACAGCTAGTATAATATAGAAGGTTAATCAAACAGGGTAGGTAATATTGAGAACTAATCAAGATCCTAACTGCAACTGCCTATCTTACCTCCATACCAAATCCTAGGTAGGTAACCCCTTTGTTGTCATTTTGGTTTTTCCATGGCATTAATAAAATCCAAGAAGATGATAAAATAACGATTAACCCTTAGATTACAAATTTCTATAATCTAAGGATTTATCCCATTTACATTTTTAATACAATTATAGTCACATTTATAGATTTTGAACCCTCAGATTACTTTCTATACTCTAAGCTGAAACATTTCTCTCCACTTGTCATTAACTTTCACCTTGACATCTAAAATTTCCAAGAAGTTAATGATGAATAACGATTTAAACAATTTAATGTAGGTATACATAATAGTCAAATTTATAGGTCTTGAAAAATATTTGTTATATACCTACTCAAACAAATAATAATACTCTCCCTAATTCACCCCCTTACGAGTGAATTTTAACCCCAAAAGCCGAGCTTGTGCGGGGAAAGGGACGGCTATTATTATTATTTGCCGTGGCGCTCCGGGGAGACTTAAAGATGATTGATGGTACCATTTGACTTACAGGTGAGGAAAACTCGGAAAACCTCACCCACCATCATCGAGACGGTAATGTATGGCGATTTTTTTTAATCTGCATGTCATATCAACAGAAATTGAATTTCTATTAATACGGCACACATCAAATCCTATACCGAACCATGCAATTTAATTAAAAATCCACATGGTCTGGTCTAGGATTCGAAGTCCAACAGTCTCTGACACATAAACTTGCTTATAAATGAATATAAGCGCGTTAGACCGCTACACCACCGACCCGACTCTACCATTTACATAACAATTGCAAATAGCTCAAAAAAACATTTTGTAAAGTACCTACATACCGAAATAATCAATAATACATATTCAAAAAAAATAAATTTAAATGATCTGACAGATATATTACTCCGTGTCGATTGCGATTCTACTATAGTCCTCCATCAGGTTTATACATTGTAATTAACGTTCTTGTAATGAGATGATTATTATGTAAATACTATTATTAAATTATTACCTAGAATGCCTCCAATCCCTTTCATAGTAGGAGCTAGATTCTTTATCTTTGAGTATTTTTTCTTTCTTATTTGATTGCGCAAAACGTTTGGAAGACCATTCTACGAATTGTGTACGAACTAGTGGTTTGCGACAGAACTGAATCTTCTCTTCACTTTCCTCGCTTATTACATTCCTATGTAATTTTCTGGCTCTACCTAAACTAGACCTGAAAATAAAAAAAAAATAGCCATAATGTATACAGGTTCGTATTAAATTTTTCATGAGTATAGGGAAAAACTATAAAGAGCAACAGAAAGAAGAGTATTCATATGATACGAGAAAGCAGAATTGGGTTATTCTTCGCGACTCCAACTTATATGCTGACGATACAAGACTTTTATGGCATTGTAAAGGTTCAAGCAAACTTCCTGACATGGTATCTCGTGATCTTTTGAAAGTTAATGAGGAAAACTTTTTAATACTGAATACCAGGTAAAAGGAAACTGTTAACTTTTAAAAATGTATTACTAAATTTTAAGTTTTATTCGATAGAACGTAACATTTTTAGGTTTAAGAATAGACTCTCATTTGAAGTTTAAATACCACTTGTACGAGGGGTCGATTCTCGACTTGTAGGAATTTATTCCTATAGAAATTTTTGGCATTTTTATATGTATAGGAAAATATCATGAACTTCCTATACATAGGAAAATGTCAAACATTCCTACAAGTCGGGAATCGACCCCCAGGAGGAAATTGGGATTTGCTGCAGCAAAGTATGTTTATTTTGGGTTGATTGAATCTAATCTAAGGCATGCAATACAATTTTTCGGAGTATACAGCAAAAAAACTGTTCATAGTATATTTGTTCTCCAAAAACGGACTCTTCGTCTACTTTGTCAAGCAAAATATTATCTCCCCCTCCCTCCCTTTAGAGATAAAAACAACTTTAAACAATACAACACAACAGTTAAAACGTGAAATACGGCATATTAAAAATTAGAAAGAAAACAAGATGGAAACCGGGCCCGCAACAATTTGCAAAAAGGAAACATATGGCAACAAAGTTATCTGAAACATTTAAAGAGTACCTTCCAACCACATACTTTGATTTTCTTTTACTATACGGAGAATGGTCACACTGCGCAGCTTTCTGAGTGCCTTTTAAAAGGAGATAGAAAACTCCGCCATTTTGAATCCTTATTACGTGTTGCCTACATCTTGGCGCAATATTTTTAATAGGTGCGTTTTAATCATCCGCTTCTGCTTCGGAATTGTCGGTTTTCTTGTTTTAATCTGAGAGGTTAAAACGACTAAACCGACAATTCCGGAAGCAGAATCGGATGATTAAAACTCACCTGATACTTTGCTTGCTGCTGTCAGTGTCAATATTATTTAAGTCACAGTTTATTGCTAAACAATCAGTTAGCTCACTCAGACCAGTTGAAAGTTCCAAAATAACATCCACTCCAGGGATACAAATTCAGGATACGCATAAGACTGCTGTTTTATTATAGGCGGTTGTCATATATTGTATTATCCGAGTTGCACAGTGTATAAACTGAAACATTGAGATCCAAAGTGCCGACGCTAAGTGAGCGTTCTGATTCTTTAGCTGTAAACTGTGTCACAGGGTTCAAAAAGGCCGCGCCCTATGTTGGGCGTGTCGGACCTCTCTTTTGCCTCGTATAGTAATCAAAGTATGTGCTTCCAACCCAATAATGGTGCAAATCTTTAAGACTGAATGGAACTGGAACAGGAAGACAATCGTTAAACCTACTTCTCTATAGATTAGATTAGGAGTTGGACGTTAATTGTCCTTGTCCACCGCGACCTTTTCAGATCTATTGTTTTAGAGTATGTCGTCTAGCCTGGTCTTTTTTATTAGACTTAGTAGCTTTGACAGTGGCTCCCGCATGTAGTTGTATGCAATTGGCTTTTCTTCGCCCAATGTTAGAAACCTCATTCCAGCCAGGCCTTCACATTGGCACAGGACGTGGAATGATGTTTCCTCTTCTTCTTCACAGAACCTGCACAAAGTTGCTTCTTCTGCTGGATTTATGACACTCATGTGCCTTTTGAGGCGAGAGTGTCCAGTAAGAAGGCCTACTGTTTTCCTAACGATTTGACGCTTTTGATCCAGCAGGTCTTTCGTAAACTTGGCCGATGGTTCCTTGATGAACTGTTTGGCCTGTCTCAGTCTTGGATAGTTGTTCCACTGAGACTCTTTTTGCATCCATTGTTTAATGGATGCATTGCACACTGCCTTAGCAACTCCACAGAAGGGTTCGGGGCCTGTCATGGCTTTATCTGAGACTTCTCGGGCTAATTCGTCGGCCTTTTCGTTGCCCTGATATTCCTCATGGCCTGGAACCCAGGCTAAGGTCACCTTATTTTGACTACTTAGCTGTCAGGTCTTCTAGACAGTCTTTCACCAGTCGTGATTTGATTTCTGGTGAGAGAATTGCCTTTAGAGCAATAGTTTTGCCTGATACTTGCTGATTTAATATTTTTCTTGCACAGTGTTGTATGGCTATTAGCTCAGCCTTCTCCATAAGAAGTTTATATGCAAATCCAAACAAATATAAATTTGAAAAAAGCCCCTGGATTTGATCTCATTACCAGGGTTATTTTGAAGATGCTTCCACGGAAAGCTATTGTCAAAATGGCCAATTTCTTGAATGCGTCCTTTACACTAAAGTACGTACCAAAGATGTGGAAGGTGGCAGAAGTTATAATGATAACTAAGCCAGGTAAACTTCCCCATAAAGTTACATGGTACCATATTCTTTTTTTACTGTTATCTTTAAAATCTATGAAATATTTCTTCTTAAGAGATTGGCTTTGGTAAAAAACAATCGGTCATCGACCAAGTACACAAAATAACAGTAATCATCGATAAGTCAGTAGAAAAAAAAATTTGCTCTACCATCTATTTGGATATGGCTCAGATGTTTGACTAGGTATGGCATAAAGGCCTCATTAAAAAATTGAACATGTTCCTATCCCGTCAATACTCAGAACTATGGAAATCCAAAGGAAGATAACATTGCCAAATATCTATTTGTTATTTGGTTTGATGAGTGTAAAATATTAATGTCGCCAATTAGGATTCGAGATACGCTAAAATTGTGGTTCCCACCTTATCGAGACTGAGGCCCACAAGGTTAAACTCGTAGCGTAAAAAAACTAGAAATGATTTAACTTGGAACGAAAGACCGAAAGCCGATAGTAATATTAGGACGTTGAATTTGTTGGTTTGTGAAGCATTGGCATTACTTAGGTTAAACCATTTGATGATTTTTAAACCTATTGACAAAATACCTCGGTATCATAATTGATCAAAATTTGAAATGGGTTGATCACATTACGTCATTAACAACCAAAGTTAGAAGATTCATTTTTAAATATTATGAATTGAGAAAATTTATGACTAGGAGTTTACTAATTATTTACAATTCGCTGGTTGAATCTATTTTGCGATATGGTATAACGTGGACTATATGATATTGCACTTCAACCCCTTAATGTAATCCAAAATCGTATAATTAAAATTATCTACAAAAAACCAGCATTACCTATCTTTTATATAATAAAAAAGTGGTTTGTATAAGAACATTATATTATCTGTCTTGCTGTACCTTTATTTATGGAAAGCCTGAATTGTGATGCACTACAAATTATTTGCAATACATATCAAAAGAAGCATCAAACATTTTTAAATAATTTGACATTTAAGAGCTATTCACACATCACAGTTGACATCTTGATACTTGACAGGCACAGCCAAGCATTATTCTGATTTTTACCAAATAAAATGGCCGGTTAATTATTCTATGGGGTTGTGACAGAGAGCCAGTAAATTTGATTAAGGAGTTTCTATGGCTAGGTGCGAAATGGTAGTAAGCTTAAGTTACCAACGCCATAAAAAAGTCATTTTTAAAAAACTGCTTATAGTCCAATCAAATAGACCTTTAAATCAAAATTTTTGAGGAAATACAGGAATTTTTGATATAAGTCACTTTAGAGTATTTGAAAACGATATGTACAAAAAAATTTGTTTTTCAGGCACCGGCAAATGTCAAAAACAAGAAAATAAAGTGTTTTTTTAAAGTTATTTAAAAACCGTATGTGCTATAAAAAAAGTTCTTAATAAAAATTGTAAAGCATAAAGTTTTACATAAAAACGATATTTGACATTTTTTGTTAATATTAAAACTGACAGAGTTAAGGTGGTTAGAAATTAAGAGATATACATGACTTGGGAAAATCATAGCGAACTGAAAATTCAATGATTTTGTAGTTTCTTTTTATTATTTACTCAGAAAAATATAAATTTCTTTTAGAAAACATTATTTTTCTTTTGTTTTTTTAAGTTATGACAATTTTAATTTAGAAATATTCAATTAATTATACGAATTTATATGGTAAATTTTGAACTTATTAGCTTGACTGACATAAAAAATATAAGAAATGAACTAATAAAAACGACATCGCGACAGTTTAGTCAACACTTGAATGTCCATTAAATAAATAAAAATAAAAATAAATAAAAAGAACTAAATACAAATATTAAAAAAGATAAAAATGGAAACAAAAATAAATAAAAATAAAAAAAAGTAAATAAAATAAATAAAAATAACTAAAAATAAATAAAAATAAATATAAATAAAAATAATTAAAATAAAAAAGTAAAAACAAAAAATATATAAAAAAATAAATGAAAACAAACAAAAATAAATAATAATAACAAATAGTTAAAAAATTTAAATAAAAATAGATAAATTATTAAAAATAAAAAATACAAAAAATAAATATTTAAAAATAATTAAAAATAAATAAAAATAAATAAAAATAGATAAAAATAAATAAAAATAAATAAAAATAAATGAAAATAAATAAAAATAAATAAATTATTAAAAATAGAAATTAATAAAATTAAACAAAAATAAAAATAAATAAACAAATAAATATAAATAAATAAACAAATAAATATAAATAAAAATAATTAAACTAAAAAAGTAAAAACATAAAAAATAAATAAAAAATAAATGAAACAAACAAAAATAAATAAAAAAAATTATAAAAAAATAATTAAAAAACTAAACAAAAAAATTAAATAAATAATAATAAATAGTTAAAAAATTAAACAAAAATTAATAAAAATAGATAAAAAAAAATAAAAAAAAATAAAAAAAAAAAAAATAAAAGTAAATAAAAATAAATAAAAACGAATAAAAATAAAAAAATGAACACAAAGAAATGAAAATAAAATAAAAATAAATAAAATAAAAATAAATAAAATAAAAATAAATAAAATAAAAATAAATAAAATAAAAATAAATAAAATAAAAATAAAAATAATTAAATTATTAAAAATAGAAATTAATAAAAATAAATAAAATTAAACAAAAGTAAATAAAAATAAAAAGATAAATGTAAAAGAAAATAAATAAAAATAAATAAAAAATGAATAAAAATAAATTTTTATTAATTTTTTTTTTAAATATTTGTCATTTTATTTTTTATTTTTCATAAATAACTAAAAATAAATAAATAAAAATGAATATTTTTTATTTTTATTTATTCTTATTTATTTTTATTTATTTTTATTTATTTTTATTTATTTTTATTTATTTTTATTTATTTTTATTTATTTTTATTTATTTTTATTTATTTTTATTTATTTTTATTTATTTTTATTTATTTTTATTTATTTTTATTTATTTTTATTTATTTTTATTTATTTTTATTTATTTTTATTTATTTTTATTTATTTTTATTTATTTTTATTTATTTTTATTTATTTTTATTTATTTTTATTTATTTTTATTTATTTTTATTTATTTTTATTTATTTTTATTTATTTTTATTTATTTTTATTTATTTTTATTTATTTTTATTTATTTTTATTTATTTTTATTTATTTTTATTTATTTTTATTTATTTTTATTTATTTTTATTTATTTTTATTTATTTTTATTTATTTTTATTTATTTTTATTTATTTTTATTTATTTTTATTTATTTTTATTTATTTTTATTTATTTTTATTTATTTTTATTTATTTTTATTTATTTTTATTTATTTTTATTTATTTTTATTTATTTTTATTTATTTTTATTTATTTTTATTTATTTTTATTTATTTTTATTTATTTTTATTTATTTTTATTTGTTTTTATTTATTTTTATTTATTTTATTTTTATTTATTTTATTTTTATTTATTTTTATTTATTTTTATTTATATTTATTTTTATTTATTTTTATTTATTTTTATTTATTTTTATTTATTTTTATTTGTTTTTATTTATTTTTATTTATTTTTATTTATTTTTATTTATTTTTATTTATTTTTATTTATTTTTATTTATTTTTATTTATTTTTATTTATTTTTATTTATTTTTATTTATTTTTATTTATTTTTATTTATTTTTATTTATTTTTATTTATTTATTTTTTTTATTTATTTTTATTTATTTTTATTTATTTTTATTTATTTTTATTTATTTTTATTTATTTTTATTTATTTTTATTTATTTTTATTTATTTTTATTTACATTTGAAGACACAAGTGAATGAAGAGCCTATGTAGCAAAATAATTTTTAGAGTTATTTCGTGTTAAAGTTTATTGTTTGGCAGTTATTCCCTAGTACATGGGTCCTTTATCCACTGGGAACGTCTATATTTGAAAATATATTGTCACGGAAGAAGAAAAAAATGTTACATAGTCCCTTCACTCACTTGTGTCTTCATTTATCTTTTCATTTATTTTTATTTATTTTTTGTTTAATTTCTATTTTTAATAAATTACCTATTTTTATTTAATATTTTTAACTATTTGTAATTATTTTTTTATTTTTATTCATTTTTTAAATTTATTTTTTTAATTTTTTTAAATTTTTTTAATTATTTTTATTTATTTTCTTTTACACTTATCTTTTCATTTATTTTTGTTTAATTTGATTTATACATTTATTTATATTTACTTATTTTTATACCCAGCAAACATTTTGGTGTAATTTGACGTCGATACTACCTAAATTATATATAATAAATTTGGTCGCAAAATTAGATTTAACCATAATTAAGTAAAATTTACGTTGGCTCGACGTGGATTCGACATAAGTGGAGAATAAGACGACGTCGAAATTTGGTTTTATTTACCAAAATAGGTAGAATTACATCTAAATCCACATTGTAGTAGCCCAGTACGTTTGGTTAGTAATACCTCTGTAGGGAAATTTGACGTCAGTATAACGTTAATTCGACGTTGTTTTAACTAAGTTTAGGTAGAAACTACCAAAATATTTGCAGATGACGTATGCCTCCAAGTGTACGAAAAGAAATTTTATACTTATTTGGTATTTTTATCTATATATAAGTAGAAATATTGTAAGAAGTCACCAACACAACTAAAACATATACCTAATTCACATGAAAGATTGAAAATAAATAAATGTTGGTGACAAAAATATATATAATTGCGGTGAATATACAGTTCACGCTTGTTGAAATTAATGCGAAGAAAATTTTGTCGTGCATGTTAACAGTTCTACTTAGAAAAATAACAATGCCCTTCCAAAATACTCTCTAAATAGAAAAATATAAGAAAAAAATATGATCGTGTAAAAAAATAATAATATTATGAGCCAAAACTATGTTACGTTTGTTGTGTATCACTTAAGAAAATCAATAATGTTTCGTTTTTCGGTATTTTCATTCGTATGTTCTAGTTATGGTCATTTTAAAAATTTAAAATTTGGAATCTACTTCAATTACGTTAAGAAAATATGGCGTATTGTGCGAATTCGACCTAAAAGTTATTATGACTAAGGAAATCTACGTATTTTACAAATACCTTTTTACTAAGTTAAATTAACTTCAATTTCACGACATATTGGTTAACTTTACCTATTTAAAGAATAAATATAAATTTAAATATAACATATTTAGGTCACGTTGTTCTGCACTTGAGAATTTAGATGTTTCACTTTACGATAAAAATTGGAAGTATAACGATATGATTTATTATTTTTCGAACTCATTTTATTATTTTTCGCATTCATTTAAAGCTCTATCTACACCACACGTAAATTAAGATTACGACTGTAATGGTTTTTAAAATGGCCGAAATTCTTAAGAATAATGACGAAGACAGTAACTGAACAACCTAATTGTTAAAATAACCTAAATAATATAAATTTTACAAATAGGTCATGTATGACTCTTTTTAAATTGGTGGTTTTTAGTCAAATTTACTTTGTGGTGGATTTTTCAGGTAATTGCTACAACAAAGTTAATAAATATTTCTTCAAGATGACTTATAGGTCAACTAAATGAGTATTCGACTATTTGGTTGAAATTAGGTAGATAAACAGGTAGAATTTTGCTACGATCTCGACCTAATATTACTTTAAAGGAGAGTAAATAAAAGCGGCCAAATAGGTTACTATGGAGGAATAAAATTACGTAGAATTTTTAACCAAATCTACCTAGTTGGATATTCTACTATAAAGACGATTTTTAGTTGCCAAACAGGTAGATATTACCTAAATATGGCACCTAATTTTACTACAAAGGAAATTTAACTTTGAAGTAATTGTTGGTTATTTTTTTTAGTAGTTTTTCCCTTGCTGATATGGTTAAAGTTACTTTTAAGCAGATTTGTGTAAAAGGTAGATTTCTTGGTATAATTTACGTAAATTTAAATATAAATTAAAACCGTTTGGTAAATTTACACTAGAGGTATATTTTTCTAGTCAATTTTACGTAATAATTACCTCAATAAGTAAATTCGTCTTTAACAAAGTCGAGTTATAACTAATGTTATAGAAAATGTTTTCTGGGTATATATTTTTTTAAATAATTTTTTATTATCTTTATTTTTATTGTCATTTTTATTTTTTTTTTTAATATTTTTATTTAGTTATTTTTTATTTTTTTAATAGAACTTCAAGAGTTGACCAAACTATCGCGATGTCGTTTTTATTAGTTCATTACTCATATTTTTCAAAATTTACCATATAAATTCGTATAATTAATTGAAAATTTCTAAATTAAAATTGTCATAACATAAAAAAACAAAAAAAATAATTTTTCTTAAAAGAAATTTATAATTTTCTAAGTAAATAATAAGAAATTTCAAAATCATTGAATTTTTAACAAATAATCTAAAGAGACATTAAAAATTCCTGTATTTCCTCCAACATTTTGATTTGAAGGTCTATTTGATTGGACTATTATATATTTTTCATAAATTGGCGACTAATTTCGAATAAAAATAGCCCCCAAAATGGATATGGTTGCAAGTATGAAGGTCGCAATCCGCCTAAGAAATCTCATCTTTACAACCAACAGCTGTTGTTTGACAGGTCGTTGGAGAATGTGTGCAATGTATGGAATGTTAAGAATGTTAGAAATGTTAAGAATGTTAGACGTTATGAATGAATGGAATTCGTAAAATTAGTTACATAAGAAATGCATAGGGATTTTAAGAACATTGATATTAAAGTAGTTAGGATGAATCGAAAATTGTGAAAATCAATAGGGTTCTAAGTTAGAAGCAATTATTCAAGAAAATCAAAACCACAAGTCAATCAGAACTTTCGTTTTAGAGTTATCGTGCCAGCATACATACACAGAGACGACCAGACAAATTTGTTTTTTGCACTTTCAGAGTCAGAATGATCAAAAACATGAAAAAAGTTTTAAAAAATGGGGATAAGAAATTTTTTTCGTCTTTTTCGATTATGTCAATGCTAAAAATAAATCGGACTATTCTATTGGGGTAGGTATTAAAAACCCCATACTTAAAAAACGCACTATTTTGAAGGTTTTTGATAATTTGTATGTGCTATTTTGATATTTATTTTAAAATTAAGACAAACAAGATATTTTAAATTATTCCTCTTACCTGGACAATTTTTGAAGATCTCCTGCAGGATGTAGAGTAGGTGGACTTTCATCAGCAAAATAATTTCCCTTATTAGGACTAGGAGGTAAACTTAAACTCGAACTGTTTAGACTATGTACAGTAACATTTTCCCATTGTTCCTGAAAGTTAAAATTAATGTATATGTAAATGCCCTGTATTTTTGTACCAAAGGACCAGGCAGCCGGCTTATGGAGAAATGGGTTCCGGTTAATATTCTTGTATTTTTGGTATGTTGAAGATATTGACTTAGTGAACAGTAGTGTCCATGAGCATAACTCAATCCTATGGCCAGTTTTCAACATACAGGGTGATGAACTTGAAAACGCATTAAAATGTAATTTTCTCAATATATTAAGGATTTTTTGCTGTAATAGTATTCTGATAACATCAACTAATATTGCTTTGTGTAGAAAAAGTATTATTTGATACAGGGTGATTCAAAAATCACCAAAAAAAATTATTGATGCTGTGTATTCTACTTTACAGTGTGAATATGAAAATATTATTATTTGGTCTAAATTAACTTTAGTTGGACTTATTATAAAAA